ATATGGCTAATAAAGTGATCTTAAAGTTAATGAATAAATACGTGTTCCATAGGCCCTGGGATCCGCTACAACCCTACCATGCTGGGAAGACGCATCCTCCCTCTGGGACAAGGTGGCTCTTCTTGTCTGTTAACCCACTCACTCTCTCTCCCCCTTTATCTCCTGCACGGTGATGGTGAAGGGAGCTGCTGCTGAAGCTGCTGACTTGGCTTTTCCAGTAACTGGCAAATTCTTCCTGTTGTAAATCTCCTGCTGAACAGGTCTAATCCACTCCTCTTGGTGTCTGCAAAAGACCAGAATGTATTTTTGTGCCACAGCTTGAAAGCCCTGAATGAATAAATATAATAATCGCCGAACAGCCAGAATTCAAGCTGATGCATTTGCTTTAACACTATACATTTTCTTCTGTAGCACAGTGAAAATGCACTTCATATAAGATCATGCTTCCCTTGAACAAGCAGACTTCATTGAGAATGTAAAAGTTTAAACCAGTGTAATGCAGCATGTCGGTTATACTTCTTTCCATGCAGATGTGTGTCTGTGTATATTTTTTTAATTGCATGGGTTAGTACGTTTTCTTTTTCTAAGTACATAATGCAATTGATGATTGCAGTTGATTATCAAGTTGTTGCTAATATTACAAATAGGAGATCTATACCTGCAGGTAAGGGAATGTAAGTTACAGAATCAAGCAGGTAGTACAGCAGAGTGTTATCCATCTAACAATGTGAAGCCTGTTGATCTATTTTTATGTCAATTCAAAAATCTGCTGAAACAGTTCCTTGCCTACTCTTTACAAAACATTTTTTAGAAATTGTTTTTGTATACATTTTTTCTTTGCAACACATACATGGTCATTGTGACTTTGTGGAATCTGTCCCCTAATGTGTGTTGTACATGAATGTCATTATCACTGATGTTCACTCTGTAACTCATCTATGTTCCATATTTTTTTTTCATACCCTTCTCTTCACTCTGTCCCCCTTGTACCATTTTCATCTCTCCTACCACGCATGTTCCCTTCCCTTTTCTACCATGGACACTCTCCACTGTAATCCTTCCTTTCGACTAATCTGTCCATTTATTATCTAATGGCCCTGCATTTACCTCTCCTTGACAATGGCCTCTGTCACATTCCCATTTTATCTGGCCTATTTGCCTTCCTGGTTCATTGGCAAATGTTTTCCCAACCATCTCCTTATCTCCCACCCCTCCTCACCTGTTCATCCCACACCTGGATGGACTGCTGTCCAACTGGATGACTAAATCCAATCCGTCTTCTTGTTGCCTGGGCCCTTACCTCATCTAATTCACCACCAATCCCCCACCCTCCCACCACTGCCTGCCCATTTCAGACCTGCGTTTGAAATCCAGGGGTGCTCTCATCTCTCCTAGCCAGGCTGCAGCCAGTCGGATAGCCAGCCAGGGAGAGGCCTCTGCAGGTATTGAGGAGCCAAGCCCTGTCTCACACTCACTCCCTCCTTAATTCATTTACTTGTCCTCTCCTTCCCCATTTGATCATCATCTCATAGGTTGTCAAGGAGCTTAGCAAAGGCACCATGTGGATCTAGAATAAATTATGGATTCAAGCTAATACATTTTGTGCAAATTTTTTTTTTTTAAGAATGACAACGCGTCTAAAGTCAAATCAATGATCTGCTGTAGTACACGGGCTGTGATGTCCAAACACTTAGCTTCTTTTTTCCTCCAAGCAATCATCATTCTTACCTGAATCTTGATTCAGAATGATATTTTAACCATCTTGTTTGTATTATTTCCAATATTATTTTTATTAGCATGATCAAAGTTTTTATATTACTAGATAGAAACATATTGTTTCATTTACACCTGAGGATGGATTCTCATTACACATAGCAAGCCGTTCCGTTGATAACTTGTTCCTTGTAAAATATAGTGGCTTTTATGCTTATAGTATGTAGTAGTTTGCTTTCAAAACTTTTTAAATCACTGTACTGTTGTAATTGACTTGATTATTGTTTCCCTGGTTTGGAAATTAAAAGGGGAAACGTTTTCACTGAGCAACTGATTTCCTTTTAACAGACAAATACCAGTTTTCACATGGGTGTTCTACAAACAAGCAAACAAGGAATCCTCTGTAGACTGATTAGTTTAACTGGCTTAAGGTCACATCACAAAGGGCTGAGATAGGGAATGTCCTTTCATTATACAAATATCCCTGAATGTCAGCCTTCTGTGCCAAGAGTAAAGAAGGGATGTGCTGTTGTACTGGTCCTGCTTATTGTGAGTGACAAAGTCTATTCCTATAACTCTTTTTAGTGCCTAATTGTTAAAAATATATTCTGAGAGCTTACAAAAAGTTTTTGCGTTGTGTAAACCAAGCTGATACGTGTTATTAGCTTGTAGCCTCTTAGTGTTTTTGTTTTACTGCTTATGACTACAATAGTAATTAGATGTGTTATTGGTGATTTACATTTGACACTAAAATAGTTGAGAGAGAGAAAAAAAAATCTGTTCATGGTAACTGGTAAAAAATTCAGCAATTTGGACATTTTTTAAATAAAAAAATAATACAATTCGGCCATTTTGGGTTCATTATGGGTGTCTGTTTCATTCTTTCTTGTCATCTTAAGCGTTCACTCCATTGTCTCTCATAGGTCCCAATATGCACCAGTCACACAGCAGCTCAGCAGTCACTGCTGAAGAAGCTACTCGTGGTGTGGCTGTGGAAAAGTTTGACATTGTCAAGAAGTGGGGCATCAACACCTACAAGGTATATTGAGGGGGCACTGGAATAGTTTAATTATTTGTTCACAACTTTGCATTAAGTGTTGTCAATAACCAGTCCCTTCATATGTCTAATATTTAAATCCCAGCTCGTCAAGTGGTAAACAGGTTGTTGTCCTAATGTGCTACTATAGAAAATATGTAAAAGTTACTATTTGATGCATCATTGTTTTGTTTGCATTCTTGTTTCTCTTAATAATAATAATAATAATTGCTTAAATTTTTATAGCGCTTTTCTGGACACTCCACTCAAAGCGCTTTACAAGTAATGGGGACTCCCCTCCACCACCACCACCACCAATGTGCAGCATCCACCTGGATGATGCGACGGGAGCCATAGTGCGCCAGAACGCTCACCACACATCAGCTATCAGTGGGGAGGAGAGCAGAGAAATTAAGCCAATTTATAGAGGGGGATTGTTAGGAGGCCATGATTGATAAAGGCCGATGGGAAATTTGGCCAGGACGTCGGGGTACACCCCTACTCTTTTCGAGAAACACCCTGGGATTTTTAATGACCACAGAGAGTCAGGACCTCGGTTTTACGTCTCATCCGAAGGACGGCGCCTGTTTACAGTATAGTGTCCCCGTCACTACACTGGGGCATTAAGACCCACATGAGCCGCAGGGTTAGCGCCCCCTGCTGGCCCCACTAATGCCTCTTCACTAAAGATGACCTTTATTTTTCATATTTAAAAATGTTAATTGTTTTTTTATAAATGGCATCTGTAGCAAATTGTTTGCAATTTTACTGGAGCTAAGGTCGGCAAAGACTACAACAGAAAAATCAGAATTTTTAGATTCAGTATCTTGTTTGTACCCTTTCAGTTGTTCTGGCACCAATGGGGGACAGAAAATCTTTGGAGAGAACATTGTTGCATTGTCCTTTATTTAAAAGGAACCCTTTTGTCTCCTCTCATGCCGTGACTTCCTCTTGTTTATTCCCTGGCTCCACTCTACAGTGTACAAAGCAGATGATTTCTGAACGTTTTGGCCGTGGGTCACGGACAGTGGACCTGGAGCTCGAGGCTCAGATTGATGTGCTTCGAGACACGAAGCGCAAATACGAAAACATCCTGCGATTGGCCAGAGCTCTGACTAATCATTTCTACAGCATGGTGCAGACCCAGCGTGCACTGGGGGACACCTTCTCTGACCTCAGTCAAAAATCTCCAGAGCTACAGGTAATATGCGGTTTCCCAGAAAATCACGGTTAAGCAAATGAAAAGGCAGTGTTTTTTTTTTATGAAGCATTGATAACTGACCTAAAAAAGTTGTTCACCACAAAATATAAAACTAATAAAAGTCCTTGGCTATGTATATTTGTTCAAAATATCTTTGGAAGCAAAATAAGGTTTTTCTTGTTAAAGGTAAATGAAAAGAATAGGCAAAATGTAACATTTGTTTGGCCTTAGTTCTTCAATATCACAAAAAGCATTGCATTTTTCAATTAAGATGATTTTACAGAAGACCGAACATCTGAGCTTCAGGTTTTCAAACAAGTTCATCAGAGTTTTTTTTGACAATTCTAAAAAAACGTGCTGCACTATTTACACCATTGTTAAATCTTTCTAATTTAAACTTTTTTAAACTGATGTTTTAAAATACGGCAGATTTCTTATTTTGTACTTCATAATGGTACATTCCCACCTATCTATTTGTTTGTGACATACAGGATGAGTTTGGATATAATGCTGAAACACAGAAGCTGCTGTGTAAGAATGGAGAGACCCTCTTGGGTGCCATCAATTTCTTTGTCTCTAGTATCAACACTCTGGTCAACAAAACCATGGAGGACACTCTGATGACTGTCAAGATGTATGAGAATGCTAGGTAAGAGTATGCAGTTTAGAATAAAACCAAACATTTAAATACAAAGATGTAAATAATACAGATACAAAAGGAATGAACCATTTTTAAAAATACCATGCCATAAATTTAATTTTTTAAATGTTTTAATATCTAGAATACTAATGTTATTAAAAGAGGTATTTTTATGACTGAAGTGTTAAGGGTTAGTCCTAAAAAAATAATGAGCTGCTATTTAGGAGTATTTTGGGGTAGGGCTTCCTTTAAAGATTCTTAAAGTACAATTTTGAGTCCTGTCAGCCAAATGTCACCTGTTCAGCCTTGGGTCATGGTACTGACTGGCTGGAATAACCAAAGCATTATTTGTGTGAAAAGTCATAAGCTCACCAGTCTCTTTTTGTAGCTCAGATCAGTATTCATAGTCTTGGACAAGTGGAAGGACTGCAAAAACTGAAGAAACTTTAATTATTTATAGGGTCAGCAGTGGCAACAGTGCTGTAATGAGTGTAGGAAATCTGAAGAGACAACATCACACCCAGTAGTTGCCTGTAGTTACAATTTCTAGAATATGTAGGTTTGACAATTTCAAAGCTTGTGTAAAAGAACAGCGTGTTCAAATTTGCAACAATATAATAGCAGCAGCAGCTTGATGTAAGAAAGACTTCTTATTGGTACTAGGTTAGTATGAAAATGTGTTTTACATCATTGAAGGAACAAGTAAAGTTCTATTCCATGCTGAAAACAGAAGAAAAGAAACACAACGTTTCAGCTGTGGAGCCTTAGGCTTAGGCCTTAGGCCTTAGGCTCCACAGCGGAAATGTTATTTCTTTTCTTCTCTTTTCAGCATGGAATATACCTTTACCTGTTCCTTTGCAGCTACCTACTTGAACTACTTTACGTCATTGAAAACTTCAGTTAGCTCAGACCCAGTGTCTTAAAAACTGCCTCCTTTCTAAAGTCTGACTTTCCCATCCTAGACTGGAATTTGATGCGTACCGCGCTGACCTGGAGGAGCTGAACATGGGCCCTCGGGATGCTGTCACCCTGTCACGCATTGAGGCGGCACAGCAGCAGTTCCAAATCCACAAAGACAAGTACGAGCGGCTCCGGAGCGACGTCACCATCAAACTCAAATTCCTGGAGGAAAATAAGGTAAGCATTTTGCACCCGCCCCCCAGAACTGAAGAACTGCTAGTCTGAGTCAGACATAGATTCTTACTTAAAGACATTCATTTTCTAACCAAAGCATGCTCCGGGAAATCGTAGCTTGCTTGAGCCTTATGTCTCGGCAAGCAACAGGCACAGGGTGGGGTACAACCTGCACATGATGCCAGTACATCGCAGGGCAGACATGGACTTGCACGGACAACACCTAGGGACAGTTTTTCAAGAATCCAGTTCACCTGTCAGTACGTCTTTGAACTGTGGGAGGAAACTGTAGCTCCCAGAGGAAACCCAAGAAACACAAGGAGTACTTACTGTACAGACTCCACTCAGATAGCACCCCAGGTCTGGAACTGAACCATGGACCCCAGCACTGCAAAGCAGCAGTGCTTACCACTCCGTCACTGTGCTGCCTGAAGGTTGTTAATTAAAATATAATTTCTATATTTTGAAACTGAATTTTCTTCTATATGAAGGGTAAATTTGTCAAGAATGTTCCATAAGAATTTTAAACTTAGATTTATAGACACTTGCACGGAGGTAGGAAAACTTAAAAGTAATAGTAAAGACAGAAACTGTGAGGCCTGTGCTTTGCACTGTTTGAGGTCAGGTTTTCTAGAACTGAGCTATCCCGCATATTAATAATTTCAATTCAATGTGCTCGATGTATTTTTTTATACTTTTTTGTAGGTGAAGGTGATGCACAAGCAACTCCTCCTGTTCCACAACGCCATCTCGGCCTACTTTGCAGGGAACCAGCAGCAGCTTGAACAGACCCTCAAGCAGTTCAATGTCAAGTTAAAGCCTCCCGGTGCAGACAAACCATCCTGGCTGGAGGAGCAGTGATGGTGCAGTTTTCCAGCCAACCGGACAGATGGACGGACAGACATACTGTTAGAAAGACCAATGGTGCAGGACCAGGAGAGGCCAGTGAGAGTGACAATGGGAGAGAACATGCTTGTCCCTTTCTTTTCCTTCCCTGTCTCTTCTTCTCTCTCTTTTTGTGTTTGAAGAACTTGGATGTTTTAATCGTTTAGAAACACTAACACTTCTTTCCTTTCAATGGGGAAAACGTCCTTAATATTATGTCCACCACCTTGAAAAAAACTTCAGAATGAAATCAACACAACATCATGGTCTTCAGTTTGCTACTATTTATTAGTGTCGCCTAATAAAAACCTATGATCTCTGTCTTTATGACTAGGTGACAAGCAAATTAGTTATTCACTATCTGAAGAAATGAAGTCCAATTTCTCAAGTTTAAAAGTTTACACTACTTCTGGGTTTCCAGCAAAAAGGGACTGTCCTTGTTAACCAGAAGGACTGTAGGTATCAGAAATGTGCATTTAAACAGTCTCCTGTTTAAAAAGGCTTCTTTTCAAATTAGAACCAAAAGGTTTAATGCACAACGGCAACATCCTCTCCATTTAAGTTTGTTTACAAGAAAAGTAGACAAAACCTAAGACCTAAAGAGAAGAAGATCTTGAATACAGAAAGAAGAAATGTTGAAAATACATAATGAAAAGTTAATGGTTAAAGCTGTTATTATTTCATATTTATTATTAAAACAGTAAATATATGGGGTTGCAGGACAGGGAAGGCTTTTTTTGTGAAGGCAAGTGCTGTTACTTTGCAGATTGTCAGAGAATGTTGTGGAAAATAATGCCACAGTGGGTACAGAGTTATACGGGAAAGAAAAGAGTTTGATTTGACAAATTCTGTCCTTTTGGAATTCACAAAATTAAGCAGAAACAAAGCTTGTTACTTGTAATGTAAGACACTCTAAAAAATTCAATGAATAAAAATCAAGAATACTGGTGTCTGTAGAATATGTCAAAAACTTTTTTCTTGTCCAAAGGTGATACAATCCATTTTCGATACAGTGCAATTCTGGTCCTTGAGACCACAGGCCACAGTCCTCCATGATTTATAGGTAGTTATTGATAGCTAGCTGCTTTAAACCTGGATAGATGGTCAGGTTCTTTAATTGGGTAATTTAATTTATTCAGCCTCAATAATGTGGATTATCATTTGACTATAGCACCTATGAGCCCTTGTGGAGAAGCAGGGTTTACCATGGTTATATTACTGTGGTCACAAATACTGTTAAACTGTAGATCTACTCAACTTCTTTTTAGCAGAAATTAGTAGGATATGTGTTTTTCACAAAGGGTTCTCTAGGAACAAAAGTTTTTAATGTCTAGTAATCTGTCTCCTACTTGTAGGAAAGTTGGATATCTTCAATGATTTGTGCCCCTTACTGACTACATAAGATTTTCAAAAGAAAACTTAATCCTTAATGGCATCAGATTTTCTGGTACATTACTTAACATTCAGAACCATTGTATATAGTAGTATCCCACATTTTATGACAAGGACGCACTAATGTAAAAAAAAAAAGCATATGGGTTCCACAATTATTTGTTGACAACTTCACTTAAACCTGTAGAAACAGTGTATTCCAGTAGTTTTTCATGGCCTGGTAAGAACAGAACAAGAAAAAGAACGTAGTTGTAGACTAAATAAAAAGTGAGAAGATCGAAAGTGTGTATTGTCTTAGTTGTTTTAATTTGAGGACATATTTTTGTTCTTTTTGAGAGAACTGTAAAAAGGTCACTGCAGATGGCTCTGAGATAGTATGCTTTATATACTGTATTTCTCGTAGCACTTCCAGACAGCTTTGGTAGCATCATGACAAATTTAAGTTCTTACACTACAGCCAAGAATCGTGGAAGTTAACGTGACACAGGGCTTTCAAGCTTCCATCTTTTCTTCTTAGCGAAATACCCTTGTTGGGTATCCCAGAAGTCACAGGCCAATGTTCAGCTTCAATGAAAATTTAACTCTTACCTTTTGGAGGGTACTGAAAAATGCATCAGTTGAGATATCACAGGATAGCATGCATTTGTTTAGCTCTGTAGCTCACCCTTTCCGCTAATGCTAAGACACCTTTTACAACTTTTTTTCAGGTCAGCCCTGGCTCACACTTCTGAAGTGTGAATGGCTGTCCTGAACTGACTTAAATTTAGGCTGCATTTTTGATCTGGCAATTGTAGTCCAAGGACCACATCCAATTCTGGGGTGCCGTTATTTTTAATACCAATGCCTTTCTTATTGCATAGGGTTTAACGACACTCTCAAATTTGCCAGCATGCAAAAACAATGCAGTATTGTACTTGTAAGTAAACAGTTTACTTAAGGGCTGCTTTAAAATGACATATATTAGTGACCAGTAGGCAAATGAAGCATAATGAGTTATTGATATTTTCACACCAGATATCACCCTTAAGGTATCACTTTAAATGTGTTAAGATTTTATCCAGGAATGCTTGGGTCCTTGTACTGTGTAATCCTAGGTTTACCGTTTTTTGTTCTGGGGTGTGGGTGCATATTAAGTTATCTTTAAACCACAGAGGAACATGGTTTTCAAGGACCAAAAGCTGAGTAATCTTATCATTAATTACTATTATAATGCTTTAAAGGTGACATTATGTTCAGGCAGCTTGGTGATTAATACTAGTATATAATTATACTCCTGTTTTGTCACAAGGTGGCAGTCTAATCTAAACAGTTTAGCTGGGGAGTTTCATTAACTCTCACTGATGACTGGCTTCCAATGTACTATAGATGGTCGTGCTATGAAATGGCTTATTGTTGCCCTGCAGCAACCTTTTTGTTGAAAGCTAAGTGTTTTCACAAAAACAGTTTTTTTTACATCAGGGCTGGGAGAGTTGATGTTATTTTGTCGTCCCTCTTCTCTAAATCGTGCCTGAGCAGTTAACATTGGATATTTGAGGCTTATGTTTTAGAAGACTTGCATACTTGCATTCCCAGCACAGGTTGGATACGTGTATGCAGACATGTATAACTGTGCAGGATGTATGTATTTATCCCCATTTTCCATGAGTGATATTTGGTGCGGTGTTCGCACACTAGTTTAAACATTGAAATGCGACATGTCAAAAGAAGTGGTTTGAGAATCCAAAAAAACCCTAAAAAGGTATGTAACTTCAGTTACTAGCCCCATGTGTCCAAAGTCTGTTCCAAATGTGCCAGCTCTTTTTTGCTGGACATTTTTTGTAATCTTGTTTTTCATTGTAATTTCATGGTTGACTCTTCTTATGTTGTTGAATAAGCTTTGTAGCCATCATGTGACCTATACATACAATGCAGTCATTGAGCACTTTTGTTGCCATTTGTATATTGAAATTGAAGTTTCTCCCTTAAACCTTTCAGTGTTTAGAGAACAGCATTTTCTTTTAATTTAAAAGTTATTATGCTATTGATTGTACGTATCCACTACTAACTAGGTACTGTTAAAGGCAAATAATAGTTAAAGCAAGGCCCTTGCAATTTGATGCAACACTGTGTGATTATGCCAAGATGCAAGAACTGTGCATTTGGCATAAGACTGGTGCCTACAAGATAGGCGGCAAGCAGCACAGACCCAGCATTTCATGTTCAGACAGTGTTTTAAATATGCTGCTAATTAGTCATTTACACCTTGAATGACTTGAATCACCCGAAAGCAACAAAGTTTCTAAATGACGGTATTGTAGAACATCATTTGGTAGAAGATGGCATTTTACTAAAACTAAATTTCACATTATGGTAAATGTTAAAAGGATTGTGCTAAATTTAAGCACAAAGTCCATATGAATTGTATATTCTGTGATGGGTCTTCAGATTCGCCTGTCTTTGAGAGCCTTCCACTTCATTTTAAGGTTGAACTAATGTGTTGTTGCTTCTTTGTTCCCAGGTTTTTGTAGGAGCAGCTTTGAAACGGAGCAAGGCAGAATTTCTGCTCTTTAAAGTTTCTTGTATGATTGCTGCATTTTGTAAAGTTGTACTTAGGAATTTGTGTACTTTGGGTGAAGCAATACTAATGGAAGGAAGTGCAGCTGTGAAGAAACTTCAGCACACAAATCCAATGTCTTTATGACTTGCCTTCCTTGAATATATATGGCACGTTGTCATAAGTTGAACAGTAAACATCATGGTTGTCCCCTTTTATGAATTTAACAATCAGGCTACTGTTCCCTTTTATGTCAATGTTCTTTTTTTGAAAGGCTGTATTTCCATTTGAATGTATTTCCATTTTTTCAATCTATTCCTTCAGGTAGTTCTTCCACAAATATGGTACACCAATTGCCCAACACTTGCCCATTCATTAAAAATCCGTTGCTTTCTAGCCAGTTCTGGAGTCCATGTACATCCATCCAAGAAGATCCTTATTACTGAAGATCCCAACCAATTTATTTTCTGTCCATATAAAGGTTTGTGGATTTCCCCAGATTGTTAAAAAAACTAAACCAGCAACTCTAAAGTTACATCTAAGCTTTTTAAGACAGAGAATGGAACAATGTTAAAGTTTCTACATTTAATAACATTTGTGATGAGCCAAACTTCTGAGGAATTCAGACTGATTGTCATATTCATAAAATGACAAAATGAACAATCCTGTTTTTTTAAAAAAGCTAGTTTGTCTGAAATCTTATTGTGTTCAAGTGCTGTTTATTTGTGTCCCCATAAGAGCAATACCAGCTAGATGTTTGGCCCTGATTAAAGGGTGTCCCTATATCTGTTTTCCTTTATCCAAAAACTTTCCTGAATCCCTGAAATATGATTATGAATACACATTCAGTTCTTGTATTAAAAATGAAAATCCTGATTCAAGTGTAATAGACACCAGACACTTCTTAGCTAGTTCTAGTTAGTAGCTAAAAAAATGAAAGGTTTATATATGAAATTTTATTTGCGTACAATCAATATTTTTTTTAGGCTGCTCTGTGATATTGTAGTGTATGAATGATTGTATATATGTAATGATATTTAAGGTAATAAAAAGTCTTGGGTTTTATGTGGTTTTGCTATTCTTCCTTGCTTTGTTCAGGAGTACAGCCACTGACTAATTGAACCTAGCAACAACAGGCACATAAGAATACAAAAAACTTCAATGTTACAATTATTTAAGAATAGGGATGAATTGTTAATATTACTGTATAAATGTGAAACTGATGATAAGAATTTGTATAAAATCAAATACTCTAATGTGTGTGCATTGTGTGCATTTGTCTTATTTTCCAAAGTGGATCTGAATGCCTTGTTGCAGTAAAATGTACACGACCAAAAATGTGATTTTCTAGCACTTGAACTGCCATGATATAAAGATGCTGCACAAGGTACCACTGTGCAATTTGTTTTGAGCTATCGTATTCTTAAGGAATTCTTATTTTAGTAAGGTAGGGTTTTGTTATTGCATTTATAGTAGATCAGGATGATACTACAGTGAAGCCCGGTCATGTCAGATTTCAGAAGCAAAGCAGAGAGGAGGCTTGGCTGTAGCAAAGAAGGTGATTGTACAGTGCTAGCGTGTCATATTTGAGGAGTGTAGTGATGCTAGACCTTTTCACTGCCAGAATAAGAGAGGCTCACAATGCCACTTTGGAGATCAGTAGGGAAGTTGTGACCAGAATAAATGAAAGACTAATGCGGGCCTGATGACCGTGGGATTTGGAGAGGGGTTGGGAGACTGCTGGAGGAGGAGAGAGGGAGGGGCAAACGTCTTACAATGGATCTTGGTATTTTCTTCTAGTTCTGATGTTCTTTGTTGAAACCAAAATAATAATAAAAAAAGCTCTCCTGGTACTTGGATAGAATGTCTCTTAGAACAATTAGGTCGTTGCTGGAGCTGGACGAGTAGGTGGCACTTCTCTTCCTGTAGAGGAAGTTATAAGCAACTGCCCTATTATGCAGACACGATAATGATTCCGTACACTTAGTGTTTTTCTGGACACTCCACTCAAAGCGCTTTACAGCTATTGGGGACTCTCCACCACCAACACCAATGTGTAGCACCCACCTGGATGATGTGACAGCAACTTCAGCTACCACATAACAGTATCAAGCAGTTGGGTCATGGGGTGATTCTCCTGTTTTTCAAGTGCTTTGCAATTCTTCAGAAATTCAGGTTTAACATGGCTTCCTTTGAATAATTAGGGATTTTAAAATCTCAACCACAGTATAAATACTATTTAAAATATTTTTTTGGTGGGATCAACACCAAAGCACTGTACAGAATATGTCATTTACAAAAATGATATTTACAAGTATGTTTCAGTTTTGTGGAAATATATTTTTTCTTAGATGAATGTCAATTTCCTAAGGCCATATTCAATACAATATTTGATGTGGGAACTGTTAACACAGTTATTTAAAAAGACCAAACCACTGATGTTACGAAGAAAACTGATTCATTCAACCAGACTACAAAGAAGACAGATTTATGCGACTCTTTTTCAGCTCCACCTCACAGTTCTCTCCTCAATAAGGCACATGTTAATTTTCCTTTGAAAGATCCATTTCTTGGATCCTGGTGACAAAGCATTCAGAAACGTGGGTTGAAGCATTTTGGAAATTCCCTGCAGTTGCTAAGATTGTGACTATCACTTTCTGTCAGACATCAATTTTCAGCAGTAATTTATAAAAGCAATTGTTCGGCATGTAATCGCACTGCTATGCATTTGGTTAGACAACAGTAAGAGGGTTTGATATTTAGGGTAGAAAACAACTACTGCACTCTACCTAAAGTAACAACTAAAGATAAACGCCAAATGACTGACCATCAATCTAATGAAATCATAAAGACATACAGTATATAATTTGTCGCTTTTCATTAGAATTAATTTATACCTTTTCTGATCCTGCAAAACTTATTTGTGCTTGTTTGGTGTGAAAATAACAGGGCAGTGTCGCTAGTTACTCTGAACATTTTCAAGCAGTGGTCACAACGCGAGTGCAGACGGGAGAATAAAGGTAACTCTCGCCTAGAGCTCTGTGGTCACCTGAAGGCTCGCTGTGATGTCTGAAAGCGGCACCTCTCCTATCAGTGTTGGATCTCCTGTATGCCACCGTGGAGGCCATGACATAGCAAACGACACTTCGCTTGTGGACCCAACGATAGCTACAACTCCAAATTGGGTCAGTAAACAGTATATAATATTATTAATAGCTGACTTATAATTAGAAGACCTCGGAAGCACACATGCAATTATATCTCTCATTCTGCGTGATATCTGCAACTTGTGCTCGCCTTTTCCCTTTTAAATGTACAGTAAATAGTCTTTGATGAGAACAGCGAACAGACAGGTTAGACGGCAAATATCAGCCTTGTGCACTTGCCTCAAGAAACCTTTAAAACAAAATAACATTATAAGGAATGTGCTATGGGGACCTTCAAATTTTTATTGGACGATTTTCTTAAGAATGAATGTTTATTACTATTATTCTTGTTTTTTTTATTTTTCATCTAATATTTTCCAACAACAATAATGAAAGGATAAAAAGGATAATCACGTGAATATGAAGTTTCTTTAAATTCTTGCCCGAAGATGTGGAATATCTCCTTTAAAGTCTCTTTAAACAAATGGCCGAACAAAAGTGTTGAACGGAAATGAGCCCAAGGTTGGTCCAGGAAGAGCAGGGGTTAAGGTCGGGCGTGTACCTGTAGCCCAGGTACGGTTTGTCAATTTGGGTGGTGCTTTGCTTGTGTAGGAAGAAGAGGTTTTTAGAAAAAAGTGTCGGATGTCTTGGTAAGCGGCTGCTGATGCTGGATTAATTTTAAATGCGGAAAGATATTTTATTTCCTTTTCATATGGACTGTTTGAGGGATTGACTCGTTTTATCAGGTAGGTTTAATTGACGAAAAGAAATTGTAACCTGGTATATTTCAACTTTGTCTTCGTTATTTATGAATGTTTGTTTAAGTTTAATGTACGCTCGTAGTGAAAATACTTATCATTTTCACCTGCACGTTCAAATATTAACACGTCTTTATATACATTTCTTCAATAATGTGTTAAAAAACACAACACCCATGTTAATATTAAATCCATTTAAACGACTTTTTAAAGACCGGGTCTTATGCGTTGTTATGCGTTCACACAGTCCCTTAAAAATAAGTTTGAGTTTTTCAGCGACTATGCTCAAAGAACACAGGGAACCAAACTGCGTATTGTTTGTAAACACAGAAAAATGCAGTCACTTTAATAATTATTTAATGGTCTTTTTAAGTTTTTAGCGTATGTTGAGCACTTATACAACAGTTGCTAGAATAAGCTATACCTGCATTTAGCATGTCGATTGAGTTAATGGTATGGCTTTCTCTGTTCATTTGAAAGTCCTGTGTAATGGATGCTATTATTAGATTAAATACATAGCTTAGAAACGCTCAAATATTAATCATATCCCAAGGTTAGTCTCTGAGCATTTACCCGTATTGCCTAAATGTTTTTCTTGTTACGAGTTGAATTTCTACTAAGAATGAACAGAAACAAAACGGAATTTAATCGATAAGGCGGAAAGGAACTGGTACACTTTTCCTTAAATGTGGTCCTCTGTACCTTTTAATTTTTGCTTGAAATAAATTTGACTGTAATCAAGTAAGGGTTGGGGACTCATGAAAGCAATCACCTGTGTTACACGCTTTCGATAAATACCATGTGAAAGTTCTCTATTTTTCAGATAAATACCTCCGAAAACCAACATCGCCATGGCCCTAGATTTATAAAGTTATTTCTGCAAAAGCACTTTTTTTTATGCAAAAGCTACTGTATAAAGGCAAGACACACTTATCCAGGGCATGGAAAGAAGGTTTATTTTAAGTGGTGCAAGAGAACTTGATGGCCTTTGAGTTAATTGGCAGCTGGACTTAATTTAAAAATGTATTCATTGTTAATATGGATTTACTGTAATTATTATTAGTGTGTAGCACAAAAGGGCTGGTCCAGGTGAGGCCACAAAATTGTTTAAAGACCAATGGCATAAATAAAATGGGGACAATGAAATTGAAGCATCAAAGGAATGGGACAGAGCCCAAAACATCTGTGTTATTGAAACCTTTTGTGTTAAATCACTGAACTCGGTTATTACCTCATACTTGGGGGGGGGATGAAATATGAATACTATACAAATATTAATCAAAACAAGAGATATCAGATTGAAGATAAAAGTGACTTTTTTCACTCACCTTCCCCTGGGCATGGATTCAGTTAGATATTATTCAACTTCCGTGCACCCTTCAGTTTCCAAGAATTCACAAAGAGGGCCCTAGTGAAGAAAGTAATCCTAAAAATATGTAAAAAAACCCCACAGAAACCTGATTTTGAATTCTACATATGCATAGAGGAGTTATGCAGTTTCCTTTAAACTACACTGCTTAAATTGTAGAATTGAAATCACTGGATGTTATGCGTTTAAACTGGGTCAAAAGTTACTTCTCTTTGTGTTTTTTAATAAATTGTTTCCTTTGGATGCAGCGGAAGCTGACAAGCACAATATATAAACCAATATCCTGAAACGTTTTTTAATTTTAATGTGGCCTTGGTGAGATATTTGAATTTGACTCTTATCTTGCAGTGTGGGCTAGAGCAGCTCAGTTTATGAAACTAAGTTGTCTGGCTTCAGTGATCTATCTGATAGGCATCCCCTGTTTCACTATGCAATGTAAATATACCTTAAGAGTTGTGCAATAAAATTTTCAACATCTGTTGTTCAGACATGACCACAACCCCAAATTCATTTTAGTGGGAATTTGTGATTACATCATTGTAGGTTTCTGGTTGCTTCCTCTATTCTGATACACAGAAGTAACTTCTTTTGAGCTGAGTTATACGAGATGTAAATAGCAGTTCATTGTAGATGCAGAGCATCAGTACACATTATATGGAACAGGAAGATTCAGGAAAGTACTTGGGCTGTTGAAGACCACATTACACCCCTGTATACACTTAAGGTTATGTGATCTGCCGGATTTAAGGTTACAAAAGGAACCTATTCTATAGACCGTTTATTTCCACTTAATGAGAGCCTATGACACTGTGATGTAATTACTGCCTCATTCGCATTGTCCTGTTGTTTGGAGGTCAACTGCAATCTTCCCTTAACTTCTGAAATGTAAAACTAATATTTTCCCTTCTATAGTCAATAGCCTAGCCAATGTGACTTCTTATTTAAACGTGCAAAAACGTTCACTGTCTTGCAATATCTACATACATATGATATTTACTATCTTGAAAGCAAACAAGATTGGGTCTGGTCAGTACTGGAATAGGAGATCACTAAAGAGAGCTGATGCTGTAAGTAAAAATAAAGCAGATGGACTCACAGGTGTAACTCAAGGATTACACAAAGGCCAGTGCCTCAGTATGGTGGCAAGAGAGACCATGCCTTACTGTAGGAGTTGCCATACTTCGGCTGTTAAACCTAGGTTCCGCTTTCTCGGTCATTAAATGTATCATGGCAGTGTTTGTAAGACCAGATGTGTTAACCCTGGTGTCTCAGCTCAATTTTACTTTTGTGCCACATAATATGACTTTCCTAAACCTTAATTCAAATGGTGAAGTGATTTCCCATTTCTCCTCCTGATCTGCTGTATAATATGGCAGGAATGTATCTAGGCAGTTTAATTGTTGGAATACACATTCTTCTACAAGGATTTTAAAAGCAATAAGGCTGTTAGCTTTCCCTGTTGATTCACTAAAAAGAAAATATGATTTTGATGTTAAGTTTAAGACAACCCAACAAGGATCAACGCGTTTCCTGGTTTTGTACCGTGTGGTTGAAGCCATTAAATATCGGAAAGAATTAACATGTAGATAGAGGTTATTCAAAGTAACATCATGTGAAAGATGGTCAAAAGCCACATATTTGCAAAGCGCTTAAAAGGAGCTATTCATTGTGCCTTACAGAACAGAGTTCAATTAGGTTTCATCAGAAATAAAGATCTAGTTTGTGGTTGTGGATCCTGAAACATGTTGCAGCACTCCTCAGTACATCGATAGCTTAGTGTTTGTGAATTGAAGGCTGGTGAAAGGTGTGGAAGCTCTACATAAGCTATACCCTCAGACACCTTACCTTCAGGTCACTCCCAGTTCTGCACAATTGCCCAGGAATGATTTAGGGTATTAAACTTTATTTATTACACTTTATTCAGTCAAATTACAGTCGCTTCTGCAGGTATCCCTTTCTAATTGTTTTCAGACTTGCAAAAGTCAGACCAGGATTCAGAGAAACTGTTTTATACAGTATGTGGTTCCATGGTTTCACCCTCATAATCATTTTCCTTCTGTATTTACAACCTGCAAGATATATTGAATTTAATTAAATTTAGAGAGAATGAGATGAATGGGTTTTTCATTTTTTTGCTAAGGTTTGGTCATATTTTCTCTTAATATTATATAGAAACATTTCAGTGCTTCAATGTCGATTATTATTGATGTTTTTTATGTGTTTTTGTTGTATTGATGACTTAAAAATCTGGCACATTTCTTTTTAATGGAATTTTAAACATTTGGAGTAATAAAGCAATTTGAATAAAATGTAAGTGATGGCACCTGATCTGAACTAAAGCTTAAACTCAACTAAATGATATCTGATGTCTCAATTTCCATCCATATTTTATGCCACAGGTCCTTCGGTCCAAATTTATTTGGTCCTTTCATTTTGTGCAGCTTGCTCGGGAATGTGAACAAATGTCTCTCCATAGAGCTGAATTCCCATGGTATTTGAGTTGGCACACCTCACAAAAGTTGTAAGTTCTGAGGCACTGAGGTTGGAGACAGTGAGCTTCAGATACTGAGACTATTCATGTCAAATAATCAAGATAAAATATGTGCACAGAGCTTCTGTTTATTCTGCTTCTAAAATCCTCTCTGTCTATAAAGGGGCCGTCACTCTGCCCTTATCCTGCAGAAAAATGGCTCAAGCAGTATCAATGTTGTTTCGGAATGAAGGTTGGATTGTAAAGTGAGATCTGGCAGGATGCAGAGAGAAAAATGAGATATTGCCAATACAATCTGAAATACCACATCTGATGAAGATAAACCAAGATGATCGCTTTTATTTACAGTTGCAAGAAAAAGTTTGTGAACCATTTGGAATAACCTGGACTTTGCTTTACTCATAAAAATGTGGTCCCCACACTTCCAATCTCATCTCATTGATTGGAACACCTGACTCCAATTAGTTTTTGGAGAATTCATTGGCCTAGAGGTTCACATACTTTTGCCAGCCTGGACTGTGAATGTTTAAATGTGTTCAATACTGTCAAGAAGTACAATTGTTTGTGTGTTATTAGTTTAAGCAGGTTGTGTTGGTCTATTATTGTGACTTAGTTGAAGATCAGACCACATTTTTATGAATAATTAATGTAGAATTCCAGGTAATTCCAAAGGGTTCACAAACTTTTTCTTGCATTGTAAGTGTTCAGTACAACAGAAGAACTTATATTTAGAGTTCAGTAGCAGTTGCTTTTATCAGTTTTTTACAGTTGAGTTTGAGTTACTCATGAAATGCAGTAGTTACAAGGCAAACCAAAATGTTTTAAATCTAAACATTTATTACATCTATACAAAATAATTCAAATTAATCCAATTACTGGATTCATTAAAGGTTCACCTTTGAACCTGGCTAGAACACGTGTTAAAAGGTACTGTATGTGGGTCCCTTGGCAAGGATTAGGAATGTTTCAAAGATGATGGTGTTGTTGGTAGAAATTCTTAATGCTTCTTAATCTCCCTTCTTGTGGCCATAAGTACCATTTAGAGAGGAATATAGTATCTCCACTTTTTGTTTTTCTGGTTAATGTAACAGATGATCACATCTGTTGGCTTTGGACAGTTCCTTTAAAGCTTATATAATATGCACACCCAGTCATCACTATGGAATTATGAACCTTAGAAGAGAAAGAAAGTTGTGGCCTCCTAAGTGCTTTAACCTTACGCTCATTCAATTTCTCATCTGGGCTCTAAGATGATGTGTTCAAGCCTGGGTCATGACGCCCAGAGAGCAGGCTGCAGGTACAGGTATGTCATCCACAGGTAACTGACTCCAGAAGGGGTGATGTCATTCGCTGACCATAAGTGGAATTCCTCAAAACATGGTACACAAATAGCCAAGCATTCCTGAATTTTGGTTGGGCTTGAACCAGCAAGGGAATCCTTGTTCAGATGTGACACATAGCTTTTGCTGCGAGTAACTGGGAAATTGCACATTTAGTAAGATAAGCTCTTCTCTTAAAGTCAGTGCTAACTCTTGAAAGGCATTATGTTGACTGTCAAATATGGTTCAGTCTCATATTTCATTCTCACTAGTTTTAAACAGAGCTGACTAACAACAAAGCAATTCAAAATGCAAAGGGTATGTAACAGTAAAGTCTCAAATTTGGATTAAAAAACGTATATCAAAGAGAAGAAGGAGAATTGTGGAGCCTGCTTTAAATTTAAAATTTATTTTTATCTTTGCAGGTTTTTCTGTTCCTTCTTTGGGACTGCTGTTGGACTGATAATTGGCACTTGGCCTGATTTAAAAAAAAACTCAACCATCCACTTTGGTTTGTAATTTTGTCTCCCTGTCCCTGGAAATACAAATTTCCTCCATAAGCGTTCTGCAGTGGATGGCCGTGTTGCCATGATGACTGCAGAGTATGCCTCTGACCATCCTCATCTTCCTTTGCCTCAACCATTGGATGGCCCAGGGCCCATGGCCCCACCTCCTCCTCCTCCCCCACCACCTCCTCCTCCTCCTCCACCCCCCCCTCCTCCTGCCTCACCCCCCGGGAGTGGACCCCTGACCAGAAGCAAAAATCGGCGGTCCAAACTTCGGAACTTCAACTGGGACGCCATCCCTAGGCACAGTGTGATGGGGAAACGCAACATCTGGACGTCCGAGAAAAAACTGGACGACTTCGAGCTGGACACCAAGCGGATGGAGGAGCTGTTCAGCCAGAACGAGCAGGGGCAGCAGAGAGCACGGGCCAGCTTGAGGAAGAGTGTGCGAGGATTGCCTGCCTCCACCCAGGGGATGGACCCAGTAAGTATTCCCCATGCCTGGGTCTCAAAGGGGAAGGTTGCCTGTTGTTGTAGATAATCAAGTGGCACCTGAAGATGGCTCAAGAGCAGAAATGTTGTGTTTCTCAGCATGGAATTAACCTTTACTTGATCCTTTGTAGTAGTGGTCAGCTGTACTTCATGTTGTCCATGAGCTTTTCCCCCCTCTCTTCTCCCTTTGTGAAGTGGACAGGGTGCCTGTTGATCCACTACCTTATCATGTATCAAATGCTGCATAAGAACTTATGTGCCATCCTTTTTCATATCTGATAAGTTAAGTTTTTAAACTACAGTATGACGCATTTTTAAGGCACATAATGAATTATGAGAAGCACTTTATGATGCTCCCCAGGGATTTGGCATCTCTTTACCAGGGCTTCATCTTTTGTTTCAAGGTCATGTGGGAATTTGAAGCAGAAGCTTTGCATACTGTACATGTAGTAAAGGTTAAACTAATGTTTTCAGAACAAAACATATCCTTTAATCCATAGACTTCCCCATCGTCATACCCTATTCCTTGTTTTCTGCCAATGGACCCCAGAAGACAAACATACAATGGTAAAATATAATGCACTTAATAGCCGTCTTTGTTAGCAGCAACAATTCATGTCTTCATAGTGCTGGAACCACCAGCACTATGAATTGACCACATCCATTTCTCCAGCTGTGAAAGACTAACACTCATCCTAAAATGAGCCACATTCCAAGTTGGCAGTAATCGCAGAACAAGGGAGGTTAAATTTCTAAGTTGGCAGAGCTAAATCTCCCACAGATCTTTCATAATGCAGAATGGAAAATTTCATACATGGTCATTTCCCTTTCCATGTAATTTGAGAAATTGTGCTATCCAAACTTGTCCCTTATCTCCTGGAGTGAGAGAGGGATCATAAAACTAAAAAATAAAAATTAAGCAAAGACACATATTCATTGTTTTTCTGTGGAAACACAATTCTGAAGATGATGTGGTAATTTACAATGAGGGTTTAGGTCATTACCTCTCCTTCATTTTGTTGTCATAATATAAGCACATAATATTAATCTACTTAAGTGGATGATTTTGATGGCTGCTTTTTCCCCCCAATTTGTAAGCCCTGTGAATAAAATAATGGAAAATGGTTATGCTCTTAAGAGTAAAACAAGCCTAACCTGGTTCATAAGTATTTTAATCCCTTACATAAATTAAGTAGAATTGAAAGTGAAATAATAGAAATCATACGAAGGAAAATACCTCTTGGAAAATTCTAGAAGGCAAATCTACTAGTGAGTGTTTTTCTACAGCTTAAACAAAATAGTTTCCATGGAGAGCCAGCTTGCCCTTTTGCTTTCAAGGTGAAAACGCTTACATTTTATTTAAAGGGATTAATAATAATGAAATTGGCTAATTTCTTTTTTACCTTCGCTGTTAGGTGGAGTTTGAACATGGTTATAAAATGAATTGTCTTTAGATTATTTTAATTTTTCAAAGGTTTTATGCCTGGAAATGGGATGAAATAACTTATTTCACTGGGTCCCTGGGTTCAATTAGGAACCTGGGGTGAAATCTGCATGTAGTTTGTAGGTTTTCTTTGTGTTTGCATGGGTTTTCACCGGTTTCTTTGGTTTCCTCCTACAGTCCAAA